AAGTTGACCAAAATATTTATTTACTTGTTTTACTTTTTAAATAGATTTGTCTTATTTGATTGTTTTACTTTCTATTTTAATAAAAATTAAATAGTAGTAATATTTTAATTTTATCATTATCTTAAAAGAAATAAAGGTGCATTTGGATTTTTTGTTTGATTATAAAAGATGAAAATAAAAAAAATAAATCTAAATCATTATAATAAATGAATTTCTTAATAATTATGTACGAAGAAAGTGATAGAACCAAGGGTATAAAAATAAGAGAGAAAATTTTAGTACTATGATATAATTAATGTTAGGGTCTCCCTCAAAAATTGAAAAAATTCACATAATTTAACTTTAAAAACTAATAATTATTTTAGGATAGAGAAATATTTTAAGCATCTCATAAAAAATATTATTATATTATGTTCGTTTTGCAAGGTGACTACTTTCAAATGTGGAGGTACCTCCCTTGGTGTTCTCAGTCATCATGGCTTGGCAGATGGGTCATCAGGATTCCACTTCATCAACAGCTGGTCTGAGATGGCGCGAGGCCATTCCCTTAGCATTTCGCCTTTCATTGACCGTACCATCCTGCAGTCCTTGATGTTACCAACTCCTGCATTCGACCACACTGAATTTGATCCACCTTCTTCGATGAACACCCCCATCTCAAGTCTTAGAAGTGCATGCTTATTCAAGATCACAAAAGATCAGCTCAACAACCTACGAGCCGAGTCCAACAAGACTGGAGACACTGCAAGGTATAGTAGTTACAGTATCCTAGCTGCACATGTATGGCGTTGTGTGAGCAAAGCACGAGGCCTCTCAGACGATCAACCAACAAAGTTATTTATTCCAATCAATGGAAGGCCAAGATTCCGTCCTCCCCTGCCACAAGGCTACTTTGGCAATGCTATCATCTTAGCTTCAACAATTGCTCTATCTGGTGATCTGCTGTCAGAACCATTCTCAAATACAGTGGAAAGAATACACAAAACGCTAAAGCAGTTCGATGATGCATACTTCAAATCAGCTCTTACCTACGTGGAGAAAGTGCCTTCAAAACAAACGATCTTTCCACAAGAAAATACCTTCCAGTGCCCAAACCTTTGTATCAATAGCTGGTGGAGGTTCCCCACAAATTATGCAGATTTCGGATGGGGTCGTCCTATTTTCTTGGGACGGACAACAATAGGTGAAGGGAAGTCATATATAATACCAAGTCCAACAGATGACGGTAGCGTGACATTGATGATAGGCTTAGAGACCTCTCACATGAAGCTCTTTCAAAAGCTTATTTGTAACTAATGATCCCTCATGGCTTCCCAACTATGAGGGTGTTAGAAAGTGGTTCCTAGTTTTTTGCCATTATCCTTATTATTTAGAAAGTTTATGTTATTTATTTGTTTTCTTAGAATTAGGGCAGTATTAAGTTGTTGATTAGTGTTCCTGTTATTTAGGTTAGTTTTTTGTTTTCTTAGAATTAAGGCACTTTAGGTTATTGATTAGTGTTCCTATTATATATTTAGGTTAGTAAATTAATGTTTACTTTAATTAAATTGTTGTAAAATCTATTTATGACTTGTTTTCTTTTAGATAATTAAGTAGAATCTTCATCTTTTCATGCTCATTGCTGTGTCCTCATCTTTAGTTACTGTTTAAATGAATTGATTAATTCCTCATAATGAACAAGGGTTCTTCTCGAATTTTGTAACAGAGGGTGCATCATCTAAGTAATATTATTTGTACCCATGTCTATGTAAGGAAGCAATAATTAAGAGAATTAAATTCAGTGATAAAGCATGCATCACTTTTCACAGCTAAGGGACCACCCGTTCCATCCCAGCTTCATCTCTATTAATACTTCACAATTTCTCATATTGTTCAGGTCAGAGTTCTTCCATTTCATATCTGTTGAATTTTTGGTGGTAAAAAGAGGGGAGAGAGGACTTGGAAGAAAAGGAGAGACAGGCGGAGTTCCCTCTTTTGGTGAGGTAAAAACTCATTTTCTTTCATTCATCTTCTGCCATTGTGTAGCAGAAACCTCATAATACATAAATACTAATTTCTACCTAATACAATAAATTTTTCTACCTTACACATTGACTAATTTGTGCAACTCCATGTGGCTGTCACTTAGCTGCTACTGTGCTGTTGTTGCAGCTCTCACTTCTTTTCATTTGCTGCCACTGTGTTGCAGCTTTGACACTACAACTCCAAGAATACCTTTAACTTATTTCCGATCTCTGGAGGAGTAAGGTAAGTGAACAGGTTTTACTTTTTTGAATATTTATTCTAATTCTTAATGGTTTCTTCCTTGTTACTTCAACTTATTTGCCTAAACCAGAAACTGCTGCAAAACACAGTAAAACTCTATTCAGATTGCATATCTTCATTGCTTCAACAATTGCTCTATCTGGCAATCTGCTGCCTGAACCATTCTCAAATACAGTGGAAAAAATGCACAAAGCGGTAAAGCAGTTGGATGATGCATACCTCAAATCAGCTCTTGCCTACATGGAGAAAGTGCCTTCAAAACAAATGGTTTCACCGGCAGAAAATAACCTCCTATGCCTTAACCTTTTTATCATCAGCTGGTGGAGGTTACCCATCCATGATGCAGATTTTGGGTGGGGTCGTCCGATTTTCATGGGAAGGGCAACAATAGGTGAAGGAATGTCCTATATATTACCGAGTCCAATGGATGATGGTAGTTTGAAATTGAAAATAGGCTTGGAGACCTCTCACATGAAGCTCTTTCAGAAGCTTATTTGTAACTAATGATCCCTCATGGCTTCCTAACCATGAGGATGCATTGTCTAAGTAGAAAAGATTCTCTACAAGAAACTATGTTGCAGCAAATAACCATATTATCCTTGCGAAATCAGTTTTTCTGATTCCAGAAGCAAACCATCTTTTAAAAACAATTCTAAGTACAAAGTAATATTGCCTCGAACTTAAGAAACAGGCCTAGGATAATTATGTGAAAAATGATCAAGCGAACCAAAGTGCTAGGATTCAACTAACATCATTGCACAAGGCATGTCATGAAAGAAACAAAATGCAAAATATACCGTAAATCAAATGCAAAATATACTTCAACAGATTTCGACGGTGCAAAAAGGAACTTACTTAACTACCTACAAAGACAAGTAATATAGACTTCACATATAGCTTCTATGCCCGAACATTTCTTTCGTGCTTGAGAACTACCACTTAAAGCAACTTGCATATGAGCAAAGCAAGCAACTGATTACAAAAAAGCAACCACCATACATTCAGACAAACACCAATAAAAAAGGCTATCTTTGAAACTAAATAACAACAAATTCACTGGGAAATTTGGAAAACAGAACACAAAATCATGACGTGTGTTCGACAAGCAATTGAAAATTCAAGAAATTTCCATCAACTTAAATGATTATGCCCCCATAATATTAGCATCTTTTACTTCCAGGAAACAATGGCATAGAGGCCATAGATTATTCCGGGAATGTGACCTAGAAGAGTCAAAAGCAAGCAAATACAAAACTCCACCTGCCAATTACAAATTAATGCATAGATTTAAATCTGAAATCGTTCATTATATCAACATCACATGAATCTATCACTTTGAATCCCATTTTTCCTTTAATTTAAAAAGTTAACAAGATAAACTAACCAAAACTTGGGAAATAAAACGACATAATGAGAAATTAGGCTCCATTTAACTCTTAAATTCATTCAAAATATTTTAATCTTTTTATCATCACTTTTACAATTAGATTTTAAATTAGAAGTAATCTGAAACTCCTTGCGTGAATGGAACGAATCTGAACCGTCCATGTTTTGATAAAGAAAATTGACGGTAAAGATTAGAAAACGTGATGACCTGGGCTTTCGAGTTTGGGCTTTCCTTATTAGGATTGATTTTTCCGTGGCTCATTCTTCATGGTCTGATTTCGAAAACGGTCGTGGGCCTCATGGTACAGTGGGCTCAAAAGCCCACCAATAGTCTCCTGATTTCGACACGCGCCAGTCAGCGCGTATATAAAGCAGATTACTCTCTTTTTTTCCGCCGATTCGAAGACAGTCTCCGCTGTCGGTCAAACGCGCTCAAACACTCTAGTCTGGTCACGGCAGTTTCCTTACCGGATTTTAACGCCATGGAATTTAAGTTCAGAGCGGTCGACGATAGGCCGCCACCGTATATGTCGCCGTCCGCCACCCTCGGCTACCTCCCCGATCTGGCATTCCGAGGTCCGTATAGGTTTCCCTGTTTGTCTCCTGAAAAAATTAGGGAAAATCTAAGCAAAGTTCTTCTTCATGTTTGTTTTCTTTCTGTTTTTGGGATTTTTGATGAATTCCGTGTGGGCTGCCTGGTTTTTAAGATAATTAAGGAAACAATTGGTGAAGATTTTGCATAAACTCTAGCACTTACCATACTCTTGATTTTCAGCAGGATACTCACATGGTTTCGACAATGTGCAAATTCCGATTGACAGCCGCGAGGCGATCTATCTGCGCGAGATGGAGAAGCAGCGGATTAGAGAAGATATCATTGCGGAGGAAATTACTCGACGCAGAGTTCTAGAAGCCGAGGTGAGGAGAGAGCTGATGGTTGAGAGAGAGATGGCGATGCGTAGAGCTGCGGAGATGGGGCTACCTTACGAGGAAAGATTCTCAATGCAGTCCGACTCCAGACTATCATATATGCACCACTTTGATAATCGGTGGTTCGAGGACCAGCGAGCGTATGCGAGCCGATGTGGCCTTGAATGTAGTCACGATCTGTTGCCGCAGCCAGAAGTACCTCTGCGAATGCCAAAGCTTCCATGTGATGAGGTCAGGGCTTCAAGGGGTAAGAAGGACAAATTTATAATGCTGGTGAGTGTTCAAGCTTCATCACTTATCTTTCTTTTATGTTTCCTTTCCCATTATCGGTCTTTCCGGTGATGGTTTTATGTTCTTTGTTGATACCATAATTTTGGCTGGCGTGCAAATTTTCTAAGGTTTTTGTTTGACTTTGGAGCCATCCGTGTAAAAATTTCAAAGCTTGTGGTGATTTTCACTAAGAATAATTTATGGTTTGTATTGGATTTAGAAATATTGGTGGGCTTTTTACGAGGTTGAGGTTGCTTTATGGACGTCTTAATATGTTGTCTTTTTTAAGTATTTAAAGTAGATATATCCTTGTGAATTTTTTTTTGTCAGCAATCTTTGCTTGTCTATGATTATGGAAATTTTATGTTCTCTTCGCTGTATGTATAGTTTTTGCCCTTTGTTTAGCCACTATTTCTTTTCCAAGTCATGCTGTTTCTGGCACATATTCACTGCCTTACCTTTCTACTTGTGGACTGGCAAATAAAGGATAGTCTTAAAGGGGCATCAATGGCATTGATAAATAACTGTTTTCCCTGGATTCCTGTAGCTTATGTTGTTTATTACAGCATTATGTTACTGTTCTTCGGAGATGTATGTTTCGGATCAATGTCTTGGGTGTCCCCTTAAGTACCATTTGTCATTTGCAGCTCAACTTGGAGAAAGATGTTATGTAATGGTCGTATATAACATCCTCCTCGCAATCATCTGTGGGCTTGTGGCTGCATCTGCACCTGGTTACGAGAGGATTTGTACTTACGTCCATGACAATTATTTTCCTGAAAGGGTGGGGCTAAATCCACACCATAAATGGTTGGGGATAGATATGCTCCCCAACCATATATGGCATGGCTTTTAGGACCTTCCTTTTTGAAATTGAAAGAACAACTAGAGGGACATATATAGGCCTTTCCTTATTTCTCTCCCTCTTTTGTCAAAATTGAAGGTTGTGTTCTTATTGAGTTTTATCCTTGTTACAGATTATTATTCTATAAAACTGATTGTTCATACCTTCTCAAACATATGATCATCTTGTTTGAGACCTTGTTGGATTGAATTCTCCTTTCTTCCTTTTCTAGTGAACTTGGTTTCAATTTAACTTTTTCACATATGATCATCTCTACTAGCTTATGATATTATGTTACAATAGGATAATTTAAAGGCTATTACTACAGTCCCTTGACATATTTGATGTCAGCTAATTATGGTACATTTGAGGCTTGGTTTAGCATTAATGGTTTTCTTTAGTTTGTTGGGAACTATACTTAGGAACCACTCTTGATTTTATGCTAAGTACATTAGCATTGCGCTATACAAATTGGTTAAAGTTCATGGCTTGAATAGGTCAACTCAAGCAGACAAGTTCAAATCTATCTTTAACCAGAACTGCATGCGTGTGCTAAACTTATGTACTTACCTATCTGGTGAAATGGTTTGAGACTTTCACCTTTAATTTAGCACTTGGTATCACTTGACTTCTTGGTTATGTTCTGTTTTGAGTGTCCTGTTGCAGGCTAGGCCTGATCCAAATCTTGCTGGGAAAAAACGGAAAATGCCACCAGAATCAGGTGTGCTTACACTTCCTTTGACGAGTTTGAAGAAACCCAAGGAGGAGTGGAGTTGTGCCCTCTGTCAGGTCAGTGCCACAAGTGAGAAAGGTTTGAACGAGCACCTTCAAGGCAGGAAGCACAAGGCCAAGGAAGAAGAACTAAGAGCTCAGAGGATTGCTAAAATTTCTCAAACTAGACCATTTCCAAAGAAAACTGGAAAAGATTCCTGGGTAGCAAAGACCTCTGTCTCTGCAAGCTCAGAAACGGAAAGAGTAGAAAAGAAATCATCTGGAATTAAGAAAACTGGGAATGAATCCAACCAGAAAATGGAGTTAAAGAATAAAGATCTTGAGCTGCCCTTGAAGAAAAACCGGGGTGCAGAAAATTTTGAGAACAGAAACAAGGAGCCATTGAGGATGGCACCAGAATTCAAGAAGAAAAAGAGGAACAATTGTAAGGAGAAATTCAAATTCTGGTGTGAAATGTGTTCAATAGGTGCTCATTCTGAGGTGGTAATGGATGCTCATGTAGAGGGAAAGAAACACAAGATTATGCTTGAGAAACTTGACAAAAATGGCAAAGCTCTCCTTACACCTATCAGCACCTCCAATACCAGCACCTCAATCATTGAAGAAACTCAAATGGCAAAAGATGAGAATATGATTGAGAATACAGCAAATAAAAGCACAAAGGAAGACATTCCAGATGCAGATGGATTATGTCCCTCTTCTTCGGAGAAATGGCAACAACACTAAGAAACCTAGTTCTAGAGGCTGCAGAAGGTTGGCTCCATTCCAGATTTAAAACTGCAAACTCGAACAGTTTAAATACTTTGTCATGCTTCTATTTGGATTTGAGACCCTGTATTTTAGCTGGAATTTGTAATTTAAGCAAGCGTGAGCCACCGCTATATCCAGAACTGATCTTTGACAGACCGGGAAATCGGACAGAATGATCAAGTTGAACCAAGTTTTTCTACTGCTTTGAAGTGATCAAAGTCAAGAACTGATTTCAGACAGAATATTATAACCTATGATGCCTTGAGAAACAAAATGCTGACCCAAAAACTCAAAAGCAATTAACAGATCATCGTCTCTTGTTATAAATTTGCCCAAGAACAGCACTTTCACTTCAGGCCGGCTGCCCGAAACAAAATCTGGAGTCTCAAAACACAACAACCAGTCAAATTAAGGTTTCAACATTGTTCTGGTATCTTGTTTACTCCTACCAAAGCATTTGTATTGAACGGGGGAAAGGTTACGGTGACGTGAGACTCAGAACGATCTGATTTTGGGCATCAATTCTTGATATTTCATCTATATAAATTTCATATATTCAGCTATTTTTCCTTTTTACAATAAAAGTGAAGGAAAACAAAACAAATTGAAATCGCATGCTAGGTTGACAAACTAAGGACTTCCATTACGGTTGAAAGAAACTCAAACCCTCAAAGCCAACTGGTCTTGCCAAGTGATCTTTCTCTTCCCAACTCGGCTTGCACCATTTCCGGTACTCCTACACATTGATAATTTCACATCATTGTGCAGCTCATCGCTTCCACTTCCAATGGAATTCTTCTTGAGCTCCTCAATTCTCAAAGAATCATTATTTGTCTGTAATTCTTCCTCCTCCATCTGCAATTACACATATATAACATCAGCTCGTAAATCACAATAAAACATTAAAACATCCGGTTCAAAGCTTGTAAAAGTTAAAAAAATTGAGTACCGAAATCTGGTTCAAGTCAAAAATTGGGGTCATGGAACGTGCAGTGGCTTCATTTCCGCTGTAAACCCTTTCCTTCTTGTTTAAATCAAGACCCGGCATGGTATTTTGCAAAGGAACTTCCTTTACACAGTTAGTCTTCTGTTGCATCTGGTTCAGGTCAAACAATGGAGGTGGGAATTGGAGATTGACCTCCTTTTCATTTTGAATCTTCCCCTTTTGGTTCAAATCAAATGCTGGGACCATGCGCTTCGAGGCAGTTTGCTTTCTGCCATTATTTTTCCTGTGTACAATTGATTTACCTCTAATCCCTAAATTCTTTTGTTGCACAAGATTTCTCTCCATCAAGATGTTTGGAGACTTGTTTTGCATCAAGTAATTGTATCGCCTTCTCAGAAACCTACAAACAAAAACACTTGATAAAAAAATCTCCACTTTTAATTGATGCTAAATCCTTGCAAAGCCAGCGAACAATTCTATGTTAAAATGTTATACCTGACTTCAGCCAATAGTGTCAATTTTCTCTCTTTCATCATATGAAACCTTTTCCTCACTCCATCTGTTTCCTGGAAAATGCAAAGCAAGGATAAAGAGAGGGTGATCCATCAAACCATGAAAGGCTAATAACAAAAAGATTACTAAAGGCTTTATTTCCTTTCATTTTTCATTTTTGGCACTAAGTGACGATTATGGCTTAATTAGGTTGTGTTCTTTTACACAGAAAAAGGAAAATATGTAAATAAAAACCAATTAATCACACAAAAACTGAATAATAAAAAATAGAGTACACGGTATAATTATTTCCTATGCAAGATCTCCTCCATTGTTGAAACCAAAACTTAAGATCCAGGTGATGGTTAGCTCTCCTTTTTCCAAATAACCAATTAATCACAACTGAGATCAAAACCCAGAAAAACCAACAAAAAAGCCAGATCGAATAAATCAAAACAAACAGTGAAACCCCACAAAAGATCTTACCTTGTTTAACTCTTCATAGTCTTGCAAAAGACTCTGGAGCTTAAATCTGTTCCTTTGGTCCGCGAACATAGCATATGGAGAATACTCCATGGGATTAAGAGGAGCAGCAGAAGCAACCCCTTTCATCTTCCCCATATTTAAATCACAGAGAAAAGAATAAAACCCCCCAGCCTAAGATATATCAATCAAGGAGAGGAGAACGAAGAGAAGAGAGAGAGATGGAAGAGAGAAAAAGTGTATTTGATAAGGATGAAGGCAGAGATATGGGGAAGAAATAGTAAAAGGAAAGAATTAAGTGTAGAGAGAGACAGAGAGAAATGAACACGAAAGAGAGAGAGGACGAGAAGGTTCTCGCTTTCCTGTTTTCTCTGTGAAAAACTCTGACCGAGACAAAGAAAAAAACCCAAAGAAGCCCACATAACTGGGTGAAAAAAAAATGTTTCTTTTGAGAGTTGAGACAGTGATGAAGATTGGATTTTTTGGGGGTTGCAGAAGGGTATTTCTGGAATCATAATTTTAGACGTTTCTGTGAGGTGGGTTTGGTTGGAGGACATTTGAAGACACCAATCTTCTCTTTCTTTCCCTTCTTTTTGTTTTTCTTCTACATAAATTTTGGTCCAGCTGGGCCATTGAAGAAAGAGAGAGTTGGGTGGTGTGTGTGGACTCTTCTTTGTTTTTGAAGGGTTTCCATGTTTCTTCATTCTTTGTACAATTTGGTGTGTGTTTTGCCTGGTAGAGAGAGAAAGGAAAAGGAGTCATCTTTAGAGAGAGAAATGAGGTGATTTGAGAAGGGTTGGCTGAAAAAGGCAGAAGGATAAAATGGGATGATGTTGTTATTGTTTCTGCTGCTGTCTGCTGTTGGTGGTGGTACCTTTCTTAGTCTTTGGAATGTGGTGAGAGAGTTTTCAATGAGAAAGAGATGCCTTTTTCTTGCCCATTATTATACACCATCTCCATAGAATACAAAATTCCTAACCTACCCCTTTACCTTCCTTTGTCCTGAAGAATTACTTTTCCAGATTTTTCCCCCAGCCCCCACCTCCACCATAACTTTCTTAAACCAATCTCTCCTAAACAGTCAAAACCCCAAAAATAAGGTAATGGGAAAATCCCAATTTCGTTTCAAGCCAAACACGTCTTTCTCTACCAAACTTGACTATATATGTCTATATGAATGATTTTATAAATTAAAGGTGCAGGCTACTAAGTCTTGCTTATGATGTCCTGTAGACCAAGACTTAACTCCCATCCCCATCTACCCACTTTTTCTCTGGAATCTGGCCACCACCCTAACTACCTAACAGCCCTAGAATGGACACATTTTAACTGAAAGTTTCATTTCTTCTCCTTTTTTAATGCTTGAAATCCATAGCTACCATAATGTTGCCAAATCCCTAGAATCCCCTGCTTTTCATATATCCAAAAATTAAAAAGAAATAAAAACAAAATCCATAGTTTCATAAAAGTGGAAGAAAAAAAAAAAAAAATGAGGGATCTTTGGTCCACAATCCACATGGGGGTATTAGTGTTTGCAATTGCAGGGAACTGTAAATACCCATTACCCAAATAAATCCCCATGGTTGAAAACTGAAGGAAAGGAGGTCCCTTTCCTCATTTTGAAGGTATGAAAAGAATAGAAGAGGAAAAAGGGTGTTGGGTGTCTATCTTGAAGTTTGGTTCCCTTCTGCAGCGCTTTTGTCGGTGGCCAGGTCCTCACTTATTCAGAAAATATTGATTGAAGGATGCAAACCCATGTTCATGCATGGAGCAAGTGAGGTTAGTTTGGCTGTACTGTCGTTTTATTAGAGATAAGAGAAGAGTTTTTGGCTCCGTTTTCTTGCCTCTTTCTCTGTCTTTCCCCATCAGTCTTCCATTAATTAATGGATTCAAATTGCACAGGTGTGTACTGTTGTGTGACATGGACATGTGAGGGAGGTGAAATTTCCCAGAAAAATTTGTTTTCCAGGAAAGTATGGTCTCAGATTGACAACACCCGACCGCGGGGGCCTGGAAGAAAATTCAACACCTTTACCTCCAAAAGATCAACCTACACGAAAATCAGGTGATAAAAATTTTCTTTTTTATGCTTTTATTAGTAAGTCGATTTTAAAGTCAAAAAGGTGAAAAATGTTGAATTTTTCTATGCATGCAAAGGCTTTCCCGCGTAGTCTTCTCCCTGACTTGAACCCTTCCCGTTTCAATTTCAATGTGCTCCCGTACAAGTTTTCAATTAAAAACCTCATTAAAAAATTCCATTACCTATTTTCAAAAAAAAAAAAAAAAACCTCATAAAAATCATGAAAAACAATCAAATAGAAGCTAGATGAGAAAACGTGAAAAAAGTGAAGAAAGTTTTATTTATTGAGTTCAGTATTTTTTAAGCATAGATTATACTTAAAAAAATGAAATTTAGGTACTAATATTAAAATTATAAAAATATTATTAATAAATTAATAAAAAGTAAGAGAATTTTTTATTTAAAAGATGACAAACATATATTAACTTAATCAAACGAATTTATATATTTAAAATATAAATAATAATATTTTAAATTATAAATAATATTAATTATTAAGGTAATAGTTTATTCACTCTATTTCTTAAAAATTAAAAAAATTTTCAAAATTACATTATTTTAATAAATTATTTCAAGAAAAAATAAAAAAAATATTTTAATTTATATTTTACAAATAAAGTATTTTAGTTTTTTAAATAAAAATTTATTGAAATAATGTAATTTTAAGGTAATTTTTTTTATTCTTATAAGATAAATAAGTATTATTTTCTTAATTATTAATTATAAAATATTAATTGTTAATTATGTTAAAATAATTAATTAAAACACCTTCTAAAATTTTATTAAAAATGTTGCGTAACTTGTACTTAAAAAAATATTGTTGTTTTCTGTCTTTTTCTCAAATTTTTTTTCCTGGGTACGGTTCCATTTCACCAAGCTGGACTTTGGGCCTTGAGCCTTGTAGTGGGCTTAGTGCAGACCCATTTAGCTGCTGATATATAAAAATAATAATAAATAAATAAATAAATAAATTTTAATCACCATTTTTTTAAATCAAGTACAGGCCCAGTAAAAGTTCTGTGAACCACTTTTTAATTTTCTATCTTGTCGAGAACAGTTCTAAAATATCTGCGCAGAGCCGAGGGCGGCCGAAGCACGATGGCGTCGACGGGCATTGTCACCGCTCAGATATCCAACATACATGGAATCACCGACCGGAAGAAGCCTATCCCTTCTTCTTTCTCTCTCGGTAACCCCTTCTCTCCCTTTATTTTACCCTCTGTTTCGTTGCTGAGAAAAAAAAAGGGGTCTTTTTGAATTTCAGCACGCGAGAGTAGTGTGGATTATTTGATGAGAAAATTATGGGGAAATGGAGCTTTCAGTAATTGTGAGGATTTTCTTATCAAACGAAGAGAGGAGTATATTGAATCAACATGAATGACAATTGAAGTAGTGATGGATTTTTTTTGCCTCTGTGCATGTTGCTTGTACTCATGTTTTTTGTGATAAGGGAGTAATTAAAATTTATTTTGATTTTTCTGTTGTTGATACTTTTAGGTAGCCTCAAGGTGGGTTCAAGTATAGCTGGTAAAAAGATGTTATCTTGGCGGGGTGCTCAGAATTCTGGACATAGACATAGATCTGTACGTGTATACGGTCTATTTGGAGGAAAGAAGGAAAACAATGATGATGCACCTCCCAAGGTTAACCATTTAACCTTTTCTTCATGGTTATATATTGCCATGTTAAGTTAAAGTATGTATCATTTCTGTGGCACTGATGTTTGGCAATCATTGGCATCTTCCTGAAAATGCAGATGATAAATTTTTTTTTCAGCCTTAATGTAGATTACATAATCTGCTCTTTTTATTTGATATGCTTGTTTCTTAATTGTCAATTTGGTAGTAAAGAGTAGGTGCCTAAATAAGTAAGTTGTTTATTGCATGACTGAATATATGATACCATATGTTAATTCCTAATTATCAATTTTCCGCGGCTGGTGTATTTGTATACAGCAAAATGTTCAATCAAGACTCTAGTATGTTTTTTAATTCTATCAATTGCTAACCTGGTGAATAAAAATCCTGTCTTTTTCTATCCATAAGCTGGAAAGGTGTCAATTTGTTTGTATTTAGTCTTTTGATGATTTCTCCTTTGAAGCTAACACTTCTTTCCTACTGATTGATTGTAGGCAGGAATTCTTGGAAATATGCAGAATTTATATGAGACAGTGAAGAAAGCACAGATGGTTGTCCAGGTTGAGGCAGTGCGTGTCCAAAAGGAACTTGCTGCGTATGGAATAGAAATTGAACTTTTCATTGTCTGAGTTTCAGTTCCCTTATTTGTTTTGTGACGTTTTTTTTTTGGTTTTCATTCTGTGTAACAGGGCAGAGTTTGATGGTTATTGTGAGGGTGAGCTGATAAAGGTATGTTATCATGCTCTATCTCTCTTGATTGTTAATGAACTTCTGCCCGTTTTTGCTCAAGTCTTTTATCTCTGTTATTGAATTTCACCAAAATTCATTTTCAGGCGACATTGTCTGGCAATCAACAACCAATACGCATAGAGATCACTGAGGCAGCAATGGAATTAGGTCCAGAGGTTAGTTTACAATTATTCAATGAGTTCACAATGATCTCCAAATGCTTTTCTAGCATTGGTTCAGGAAAATAGTTTTCAATTGTGTTGTTTGAATTGCCCCAGCAGCAATTGTTTCTGGGAAATGATGTCTTATTTTCCAATATTTATAATGCAGAAACTTTCTCTGTTAGTTACTGAGGCATACAAGGATGCGCACCAGAAAAGCGTCCAGGTTAGGATCTTCCTTTTGCTTTTATGAATTATGTTGGCAAAACCTTCTGTGTCATTTTCACAAGGAAAAGAAAAATCCTCCTTTTTACTGAAAAATGTGGTTTTATATTTTCACAGGCGATGAAGGAAAGGATGAGTGACCTTGCTCAAAGCTTAGGAATGCCGCAAGGTCTTGGTGAGGGATTAAAGCAGTAATAATTTCCTTTACTGTCACCTGAGATGAGCTTCAGTTTTGTATACAAACCAGGCGGAAATGCTCATTTGTACTTGTGACTTCTTTTCTTCTTTTTTATTTCTTCTTAATGAAATTTGTATTCTGACTTTGTGTCAAAACTAGTTTGTTTAGTTTAATAACAATCCAAATTGATAGGGATAGAAGTGTTCATAAATTGAAAAAGAGAGGAGGGAGAGCAACTCTCATCTACAATATCCATTATTATGAACTATAACATAAAGAGTTAATTTTGTATGAATCACCCCTATTCTAGTAACTCATCAATTTAATGGGGATCTTGAGCCTAAAGTAAATAATTATTCTTTGATCTCTTCTTGGTGAGATTTAAAAGGACGGGGGCAGCTCCTCGCCGGCCAAGAATGACCTGAAAAGAATGAAAGCTGGCCCGGGCCGAAACAGTGGAACTTCATGTCCGGCTCCTCTGACTGTTGCAAAGGTTAGCTTTTCATAAACTTGTGTCCATCCTCCAACCTGTCGACAATGTTCAAATTACATGTGACATGATTAATTCAAACCATAGTCTCTGGTATCTGATGTGGATTGCGGAGTATACCTGGTTGCCTGAGTACCAAGGATACCAACTAGTCTTGATCTTGAGGTTGAGATGGCCGAGGGAAAACCTTGTGGCAGTCACTGGCACCACTGAATCTGTATCCCCGCTGCATTCAACAGAAACAAAAAGGGAAACGATACAATGCCAGTATTTTTCACAATTTTCCTGATTATTGCAAAACAAGCCGAGAAGGCTAATGATGATCACTTTAGTGATTGATTGAGATCTACCTGTAAACCCAGATTCTTAGGCCTGCTGCCATCAGCTCCTTGTAAATTGGTAACATGGAATTCGCAGAATCAGTCCAGTATTTGAAAAGAACATCACTGCTCAACAAAAGAGAATCATGTAAAATTCTCCTCAAATTACATGATCATTTATAAGAAGGTAGGACTTTTGAGCTTAAAAAAACACCTGCAAGCAGTCCATTTGTAAGGAATTCCTGTAGTATTTGCATGCATGGCCTTCTGTACGTCTGGACGGTTATAGTATTTCTCAGCATAGTTTTCGGTACATGGATCATACCCAGAAATCCTTCGGCGCAAAAGACTACTCTTCAGCCTTTTATGCCTAACTGTGTTATTTGGCATACAAGTAGGTGTATAGATGCTGTACTGATCAATGTCCCCGAACTCATGATTCATGGCATAATCTACAACATTATCACATTCCTTTGAAGTATTCTCTGCTGAGAAATTACAATTTTTGAGGATGGATCTATAGGTTCCATCTGAGATCATAGCATGGCTCCACCAGAATGCAACAGTTCCGATGTTGTCATAGTAGTAGTCTGTAACAGCATTCCCAACCTGTATGATTTCATTCCAAATTCATAAATCCACGAAACTTATTAACAGAGCCTTTTTGCTAAGTTCTATATGAAATTTGAACATTACTAAGCTTTACTTACAAGGTATCCTTTGAGATTGATGAACGGACGTGAAAATGCTCTATTGTAATCATGGATTTTCTTTGCCAACTGGGGAACATAGTGTCCTATATAAACAGCAGCAATATCCTGTCACTCATCACTCTAAATATTCCTTAATTCCCCAGGAATTTAAACAAAAAGAAAGCTGGCTATCATGTACCTCCATAACTTTCCCCAGCAATGTAAAATTCTCTGTATCTGTATTGTGGGAATCTTGACATCCATCTAATGAGAAACATGAGATTATCCTGAGCTGCGTCAAAAATATTCGAAAACTATCAGGACTAAATGACACTACAGCAATGTGATCAAGTGATGGGGATACAGCAACTTGATATACACACCAGTTCGATTGTCTCCGGAATCCTTAAGATTGGAGCTTGTGTTTGTGTAAGAGAATCCAACTCCAGCAGGGGATTCCAGGAAGAGGATGTTTGCTTCTGTAGGCATAAAAATGGGAAAATGAGGTCAAAATTATTAGTAATTTTTTGCATAGAGCTGCTGCAGCATACAGATAACTAAAACCTTATGATTATTTACGACATTTAGAAACAAGATTCAATTAATAGTTCTTGCATGGTTGATGTATATAATCATCACCTCTATTCCAGGCATACTTATTTAGATAAAGGGATGAGCCAGTTTTATTAATCCGAAATGGTCCAATTTCCTCGGATGCTCCATATGCCACTGATGAGCAACCTGGTCCTGCACAATGCCACAATCAAAAAATAACCATCAGAACTTCTGCACCGAGGCATTGACCCCAAGGTAGCCTGCTTCCCTGTTGATCAATATGAGGACGAAATTTAAAGTGCTATTGCCATGATACATAACCAGAAATCTAGAGGAAAAAGGAGAGAAGACTGGCCCAGTTCCAGTTTTCCCACTATATGTGCTTCTGTTCCTGCCTATGCACGGCAGGACGTGGGGGCAACATAATTGTTAATGGAACAGGAGTAATCCAAGAGAGCAAAAATTGTCAGTTCTTTGGTAAAGAAAACCATCAGAATTGTCAATGTGGTAATGATTCAGTAAAAAAAGGTGATGAGGTCCCAAAACTTTCACACACACATATTCGATTTTCTTTAGAAAAAAAAAAATGCATGTAAGAGTAAGACACACAAAGTGGTCAACTTGATGTATTGATATCTTTCTTTTCATTCTCTTCACAAACACATTAATGGTGTCCCAGAAGTGACCTCCCAAAGAACACCTACCATCTTCATTACTGCTTTCAAACAAACACCGTCCATTTTCTTCAGAGATGTCAGCTTCTCATTTAATTCTCAAGACACTATCCCAAATAATTATTACAATCGTTAAAAACAAAAATCATCAATTTGAACTAACATCTGTTATGGCAGCTTCTCATTAACTAATTAGTGCCATCCTTTTGACGCTAAAATCAACTATTAGTACTAATTATTAATTCCATACTAAATTCCTTCCCTCACCTCCAATTCTGGGTCTGAACTCAGAACAACATCATCATCATCGTCATCCTAACTGAATGCGCGTGCTTCAAGGAAGGGTCAGTGGGTGGGTTACCCTTACCCATACTTTCTGTTTTCTCCCTTTTTTTCATTTTGGCTGTATTTCCTCCATGGATTTCAAGTCAAAGAAGAAATTAAAGGGAAAAGAAAATTTGGGACAACTCCGCAGGAAAAAGTGGGTTGGCTTTCTGGGTGCTTTTCTTTTCATCCAAACAAGTTAGAAGAGAAAATGACAAAAGCCCAGTTCAGAAATGAACTAACTTTTTCTGAAGGGGATTGGGATTGTTCAGTAATGGAAGGAATAAAACCCTAAAAAGATGCAGACAGAGTGAGATCACGAGGACCGATGCGGCCTATTTTTGGTGCTACATAACAAGGTAACAGCCAGTTGTTCTTATTTTTTTCTCCTTCTTCTTCCCCCCTGACACTGACACTCCGGCCTATGTTAGATATTATAACTAGATTCTTGCTATAGTGCGCATTGGATCGATGAGGGGTGTGGTTTCCTCAATGGCATTAGCAAGGCCACCGTGTCGTACGGCCGTCCGCCGGTATGATAGGTGGAAATGTGGATAGAGTGGGGGCATGGTGATGGAGATGAGGTCACATTTTAAGACTTGGGAGTACATTTTCTATTAATTGATGAATAGAGATCTTTTTTTGTTTTGATCATCCTTTTGCTATCAGCATCAAATTTCAATAGGGAACAAGATAACACGACATTAATTACATGGAAAATGAAATCTTATCCTTATTATCGCCACAACCAGGGAACTATAGATGATAAAATTCGAATCCTGAAACAAGTATAATATCTAGTTGCATATGTAACACCACAAAAAAAAAAAAAAGAGCTTAGTGCATACAAAAGATAGTGCTAGCTAGGAAGATTAAACTGACCTCCGTTGAGCCAGAGAACGAGAGGTTTCTTCTGAGGAAGAGAAGTAGCTTCTGTCAACCAGTAGAAGAGAGCGCGGCCTTGTTCTTCATTGACGGTAACATACCCGGAAAATTGTTGAAATGTGACCGGTGGTTGTCCTGGGAGAGAGGTGATTCGATCCTGTTCTTGTTGTTTAGGTACAGCAGCAAGAACGGCAGTAACGAGAGAAAACAAGAGGGGAAGGGAAGTAAGGAAAAGGGTATTTCTTTGAGGTGTAGCCATTGAACCCTCTTTAAAGATGAAAGGTGCTCTGTTCTATCTCCGTTCTTGCTAATTCTCTGTTAAAACTTAAAACATGAAAGAAGGGAGGGAGAGGGAGATATATATGAAGAGTTTTGCAGGGTGTGGTATGACGTTGGAGTCTTGCTATACTGTATGTGCAAGTTGGTGGACCTTCTCTTTCCTTTCTCTTTCTGGTTTTCAGACTAAAGAAGGGAGAGATTAAGGCTTTTTGCTGCAGTTTGTTGAAGTATTTGTTTTTTTTTTTTTTTTTACTATTTATATATATGATAAATTTAAATTTTTATTGGAAGAAAAATTTTAAAGTTACTTTTAAGTATAAAAAAAATGAGTAAAAAGTATATGAAAATAAAGTTTATAAAAAAACTTAAATTTAAAACTTTTAATCTTTTATTATTTAAAATTTTTTTTAAATTAAAAAAATATTTAAAAATTTAAAATTTAAAAAAAATTAAATTTATAAAATATAAATAATATAAAAAAACTGAAATACTTTCGAAAACTGCACCAAAAGCAACCTAAGCTCCCCAGTTGGTCCTACTATAAGCCAATTGGAAACCACAGCTTGAGAAGAAGCTCAGAAACCACATCATCATAAATGCAATCACAACACTTTCCATCTTCCCAGTCATATATTTAACCCCAAAATAAGTTCATTACCGCAAGAATGGCTTTTGCTTTTTTGTTCGTTGCAAGAATGGCTTTTGCTTCTAAAACAACATCTCTGCTTTAGAAACAACTAAAAATGGACGGAGGTAGTATAATTGAAGTCACAAATGTGTCATGAAATATATTATTAACATTTTTTGTGAAGGTTGAATCCAATAGAGTCATTCAGTATACGTATGCTAGAGAGAATATTCTCTCTCTTTCCTCCATTGTGGTCCAAATGTGCCATTTTAAGGGATTAATGGATATGGGGCCGTTAAGTAATGTTGTGACATTTTTCTATGGTTCTTGATTTTTTGAATGAAGGGTCCCCAGATAATATTTGCTCACATTAAAACCAGCAAAAAGTTTAAAAGATGGATGTATTTCATTTGTTGCTCTTTGTGGTAAAAAAATGGTGAAATATTATGCATGAATTATAGCAAGAGATAGAGAAGAGTACAAAAAAATGAGTTCTGGCAAAAGGGTTAAAGAAATACGAATGCAAAGACGACAATTTAACAATCAAACAAGACAAACAATGATAAGTTGTTAAACAAGAACTGGTTAAATTATTTTATTAGCCCCATTTGGTAATGACTATGATGGGGTTAAGGGGTTTGGCCGAGCTACTACTACTTTCCAAATCTTAATTTGTTACATCTAATTCCAATTATTTCATAAGATTGTCAATGGAAGTTGTTGTTAATTTTGTAATCAAATTGGAGTCTTGTTTTAAATATATTTATAAATAAAAATATGTGGTGGTTAAGGGATTAATTTCAAATGTTGACTTGGATGCCTCCCGGCTGAGGTAAACATAGAGATACGTCTGCATTTCCGATCTGAGGAGCTAACAATGAGAGGAAAACTGGATGCGCAGAGCTGGAAAATGCTCTATTCACGGAACCTCTTAAATTAAAGGACTTCTGTGTTATGCCCAACTCTTTTCTTATTCTGGGAGTTCAATTTAAGAACTCAAATCCAAAAAACACCATGTCTCAGTTTTTATTTCAATGAACATTTGAGGTTTATATTCAAGTCAAACTCTAAAATAGCTTAGTGAATGATTTCGTACTCTAACTCTATAATATACTTATCAGGTAATAAGTAATTTTTTTTATTTATAATCAATTTTTTTTTCCTTGTTGTATATTAAGAGATAATTATTTTTAATTTTTTATTTCACTTCATTCGCTTATCATATGATTTAAACTTATGATCTTTTATTTTTAACAAAAAAAAATTATTGAATTATTTAAGTAGTATTTATAATCAAATATTTTGAGTCAATTTGTATATATTTTAAAATTAATTTTTTTTTAAGTAATTTTAAAATTTGAAAGTCAATTTCTGATGTAATTATAACTCCGAATTGTAAATGGCCAACCAACCGGCTAAACTTAATATACAAAAACACCATGTGGAATACGCATTTCCATCCTCCACTTGCCCCGATGAAATGAAGAGAGGAATTCCAATTTGTTTCGAACACTCGAAACTAAACAGTGAGTTTCTGACATCCCAAATTATGCAATTGCTTGCTTCCTATAAACTCCTTATAACAACTGTAGATAGATCTGCTCACGATTTCTGAGATATTGTTTCCAAACAGTTCTTTTGCTGTAATTTTCAAAACCCAAAACCGTCCACCGCAGCTGCATGACTACACGTGCATGCTTCGTGCAGATTATGCAACCTTTATTTTTCTCCCTGTACAAGAAGGAACAGTACAACAGAAAATGACTAATCCAACCGATATGAAATCATTATTTTATCAATATTTAACTCTCACTCTTTTTTTTTTTTAATCTAAACAAATAATATATACGTGGGGAAGTTGGCATGAGTCTTCAAAGTTCAAACCCCGATTTAATTAATAGTTCCTTGCATTAATGCATGATGCACATGGTCAAAGTTCATTATCCGCACCCAAGCAAAAACCTACGCACGTCCACCATCATGCAAAATAATGCCTTAGTAAATTACTTACGAGAAGATGGGACTTCCCACCTCTTGCTAAACTTTTCTTCATCTATTTTAAATTTAAAATTTAAAATTTTTAATGTAAAAATTTAAATTCTTAACTATTGAAATATTTTTTAAAAGATAAATCATTTCTTCTTTTGAGCATGGAGAAATTTAAAAAAAAAATTTTTATTCAAATCGTTGATGAGACTTGAATTTTTGATCAATTACATCCAAATACTTAAAATTTGAAAAAAAAAACTATTGGATTCAAAAGTCCAATTCTAAAAAACAAATTATTAAAATAAAATATCCTTCACATTTACATATATTTACAAGTCAAACCTAAGACTTATCACTTTTATGCAATAAGAAATTTATTAATAAATCACTTAAATTATTAAGGCTTCATTTGTTAGAATTTTCAATAGATGTTTTTCGTACAACATTTATTTAAAAATATAAATTTATAACTTTAATTAATATACTTTTATTAATTTTAATTAACATTTATATATTTTTAGATACTAAAAAAAAAAAACTACTACCACGGCACAAAGCCGCCAAGCCAACAATTTTTATTTTGGCCGTCACACTGCCAAACCAAGCTTGAATATAAATTTATTAGGACTGAAATATGAATATTTTGAATAAATAGCACGAGCGGTGACTCAAGAGATGCAGGCATTACATGAATGGTCAGATAAGGAAAATGAAAGATGTCCCGACGGCTACGGCACCGCAGTTTGACCCCATTTTGTCGCCTTAAGTAAGAACCCGTTTTACAGTTCAAAATTTCTCGTTCACGTTGGTGGGTTGTCTTTAATATGAGCAGTTGAGCAATTAAGTCCTGGTGTTTTGCTTTTAAACCAGCTGCTCATCTCTCAGGAAACTCTTTGGAATATATATATTTCTTGGGGTTGCCACCTATATATTGCTAGATGGGATCCGAGATCCAGCTAAACGTGCCCCCACAACGTCAATTCAACCGGTTTTTAATTAGGAAATTGTCAAACGTATACCAATCTTTTAAGTAATTATAATAGTTTTTAATTAAGACGTAAGAACCCACAAATAGTCTAAGTTCTAATTTGTTGGGAGTTGTAAGGTTACAAAATACTATCTGTTTTAAAATATTTGAGGATTTGATCAATTATATTAATTTTTAGATAAATATATTGAATAATATATATACTAACACTTTTAGTTCCAGACTAGTAGTTGCTTATGAATTTTTATTATTTACTATAGCATATATACTAAGAGTTCATGCTTTTTTAGGTAATATTTGAATTAATTATTTAAATATAGTTAATAATTAATGTTTAATATATAATAATTATTATTTATAATTTAAAATATTAAATATAAAAGTATTTAATTAATGATTGCTTAAGCTTCAATGTATCCACAATAACAATAATAATAATAATATAATAATAATAATAATAGGAGAACTAGCATATATAGGATAGGTACCATCTGGTATTCCTTTATTTTCTTTAAAAGTCGTATGGACATTTAATATCCTTATTATTTAGACCCAATTGAACGGAGAATAATAAACATCATTGATAGCTTCAAATAGAACAAAACAAGTATTAACCTTGCTTTTGGGATCAAATGACTCTAATCACGTTTGTAAGGTTTATATCTCTTTCTCAGAGCAACGGTTCGAGTCGGTCCATGACAAAAATGTTCAAAAAAAAAAAAAAAACAAACAAAACAAGTATAAGTAAATTAAAAAAAAAAAAAGTAGTTCTACTGTTTTGACTAAATGCTAATGGTAGGGCCGTATGCACATATATTATTACTATAAAAAATATTAAAAATATTAAAAATGCTAAAATTTTAATTTTTATTGTTTAATAAAGTTTAAAAATATTAATTTGTTGATTGATTTTTAATTTATTAATTAATAAATATTATTTTTTATTAATTAATAATTATTATAATTATTTTTATAAATTAAATTAAACAAAATTAATATTTTTTAACAATAATATTTTATAATTTTG